ATTTTATTATTGTTGAATTGTTATTGTTTGTTGATTATTTAATTTGTAAAACTAACGATACGGGGATTAACATGAAATACAGAAATAAAAAATAAAAAGAAAAAATAATAATTGATCGAATGAATATACATAATAATGAAGTTGAGAATCCCTGAGTTATAAGACGGATAAAATTAGTACGAAAAATAACCACGGAATGTCGTTGCATTCGCTAGAACCTTAAAAGCGTTATAAGAGAAATGGCGAATTGATTGGTTCGTTTGTATTCCAATCGTGTGTACATTAACTCTGACTCACAAGTTTAACAGGAACAACAACAACAACAAAAAAAGGTATGTTTATTTTTGTATTTACATATACATTTATATATATATATACATATATATATATACATCTGTTTATAGTGTTTAGATATTGAAATAGAATATAAGAAGAAGTTTAAGGTAAATTTTGAAGAGAAGACAATTCATATATTAAATATTATATACTCGCGTGAATTTATTAACGAAAAGTAATTAACTGTTATAAAAATAAATTGTTGCTAAGCGTGAAGAAATAAGAAGAAAAAGTTATAGTTTAAATGTGTGTGTAAAAATTGGACGAATATTATTTACTTTTCTATTTGTCTTTTTATTATTGCGACTAGAAACGCAATTCTCAAGGTTGAATCACGCGTGACGTATATTATTAGTCATCGTTCGCGAGAAAAGAACTATTGTGAAACGTTAACATTATCGTCGTCTAATATAAAGTGTACGTTTAAATGAATTTTTTTCATATTTACATATATCATATTTTTTTTTATTTATTGGAAAGAGACTCGCGTGATTTTTAGGGTAAATCTTATACTCCCCCCCCCCTCCCCCCCCCATCACTATAACCACCATTCATCCAATCCCCACCATTCTTCTTTTCTTTATTACATATAAATTGTTTTTAAAAACTAAATCCTACAATTTGCATGAAATTTTTGTGAGAAACAGATAAATTATTTCGGTTTAATTTTGGTAACGATTTAAACGAATATTTTTAGAAAATACGTTACTTTTAGAGTCGTCAATTTAAATAATCTATCGAAGATAAAGATAAATCGTAATCGTTAGAAATTTTGTATAGTTTCAACGGAATAATTACGTACGAGTATTTAAATATACGGCTACCATTCCCTTCTTCTCGTGCTTCCAAACAAAAAAAAAGGAAAATTACTTTCTAATTGTGAGAAACATTTCGTTAATTAATAATTAAATATAATATCTCGAGATGTGTGTTTAGAAGTTTAACACATTATAGTTAAAAATTAAGTCGTTTGAAAATATTTTCATTTTATAATTATACGAAAAATGATATTCTTCTTAATTTACAAATTTTAATTCGAGCACATAACAAATTGTTTATAAATCGTAATCTCGTACTATTTGTTTCGATTACTTTTTTTGTCATAGATTTTTTTATAATAGAACTTAATATTACGTTTAAATTACGTTAAAAATTGTTTTCTTTTTCTAGAAAGAAAAAATAAAGAAACAAGCACATACACACACACTACTAACATACATACACAGAAAAACGAAAAAAAAAAAAGAATATAAAATGGTTGGCGTGTCATCATACCTCGATGCGATTCAAGAAATCAAAGGAATGACCCCGGATAAAAAATATCAAACTATATTAGAACATATAAAAAAATATGTGAACATTGAAAGAAAAATATTAAATTCCAAAATCTGGGACGAAACGGGACAACATTTGCGACCATTATATAAATTGATAATCGCCAATATGACACGAAATTACAATATGATAAGTGAATTGTTGAAATCTGAGGACGAGTTTATCACTTGCAAGGTACTCAAATGCAGATGGTATTTTCAGGGTAAGAATGAGAAGGTCATTAATCCGAAACATTTTTTTCGAAATATCATACCGTTCGTAACGTTGAAAACTAGACAGGAAATAGTTAAATCTTTGGGTCGTAATTTGAAGAATCGAAAAATGGCTGAAAAATTTTTCATCGAGTTTGAATTAAATTATGGTGTTAATTATTCGATACCATTGTTGTTCGCATGCAACGACGATTTCGTTAAAAAGAAAATATTGGAACATAGGATCATTTTTTCCGTCAATCAAGTCGACAGATTGTATTTACGTAAACCCAACGTCATCATTTATTATTTCAATTTAATCGAATCGAGAAATAACGTGCGAACTTCAGTCATATCCCAGGATACAATTCAAAAGTACGTGAAATTTTTACCGAAATTAATTAAAAGGAATCACAATATGTTCTACGACATCGTAAAGTCATGGTCGTTGGAAGTGCAATATCGTTCTTTGGATAAAAAATATGTTAAGAATATCTTAAAAAAAAATAACAACGGTGAAAGTATATTGGAAAAAAATCCACGTATATGGATAGAATTTATAGATCGAAAAATGATAAGCGAAATAATGATGAATACTATATTTCCTAAATTATTACCCGAATTTATTAATAAATTTAATACGGATAAAATGATAAGATATTTAGAACATTATCCGAAAGATAAAATATACAAATTAATATCGGAATCTTACGAAAGTGTTTATAATAAAAAATTTATCGATAATTTAGATAACATTACGTTTGAATTTTTACCATTTGTACCGAAAAATATACGAAACGATGTATTACATTTATTAAAATTAGATTTTACAGAATGTGTTAATAATTACCAGCGTAATTACGATTCATATTTACCGACCAGCGCCAATATCGACAACATCAAAGCTCAGATAAAGAAAGCTGATAATCCCAATGATAGGGTACCATTGATAATAAAAATGGTTTACAATTGTAAAGTAAACGACGACTGTGATGCACTTTATCAATTTTTAGAATACGTATATAGAAGACACAGAAACGAGAGGAGTGAATTTTGGATATCATTTTTCAGCGGTTTCTTAAAGATATACGAATTGAATGAAATACGATTGAAGGAATGGTCAGGTATCGATTTGTTGATTCAAAATTTATGCAGGAATTGTATGTTTCACAAGATTCCAAATTATTCGCTTATCTTGCAAGTATCGATTCTCGTTAAATATAAAGATTTCTATATGTTTAATTCGGCAAAAGAATTTATAAATATTTATTTGCATATGGTACGGGAACATTATATTAACCGTTGGTCAAAATACGATGGTAATCCGCAAGACGAAGATTTGTTTTTCACGATAATGTTAGATTACGTTGAAAAGAAATTTGTAAAGAACAAATCAGAACAGGATACGAGCTCGAGTGAATATATACAAGAAACATATTCGGGTTCGGAATCAAATCGTGAACATTATTCCGATGCGGAATCAAATCGTGAAAATAATTCATATTCCGAATCAAATCGTGAATATAATTCATATTCCGAGTCAAATAGTGAAAACTATTCGGATTTTAAATCGAATAGTGAAACTTATTCGTATTCGGATACGTCGTTAAACACTAGTGAGAAAAAATTATGGGACGATGAAGTTAGGATTTTTTGCGTAACCGATCTCGTATTAACTATGTACGAATTGGATAAAAAATATGGCATTTATACGAATAATAAGAAGATAAAGAAGAAGAAGACGACAATCATAAGAAATACAATATTATCCGTGCCATTTAGAAAATGGAGATCCAAATGGCTTTGGTCACAAGTCGAAGATTTGTTAACGAATAAAGATAAGATACCGAAAAAATCAATGAAATATTTCAATGAATTAGAGAGTTCCGTAAAACAACGGGATCCGGAATTATACGAAAAATTATTAGATGTAACTTTACCCGAAGAATTTAATTTCAAGGTAAGCGCACCGTTTAAAATGTTAAAGAAAGATCCTAAACAGGTGTTGAACAATATACCATATTTCTTAGACACAGCTGTAAAATCTAATACATATCATTCGAGAAGAATAAGACGTTTTTTTATTATGTGCCGTTGGTACAATAAATTGCCAATGAAATTCGTCGAGGAAGCTAAAAGACGTTTATCATCCAAACACGTACCGTATTATCTTTATCTGATGGCAATTATCTTGGACGGTCAAAGTTTTCAAGATGCTTATAAGAAATATTTGTCGGAAAATGGTATTGATAATTTCAACGAATTAAGTAAAATGTATCATCTTGAAAATAAAAAATTATATTTATTGGAAGGCCTGTTAAAGGGTATACAAATGTCAAACCCACCATTACCTTTGGAAACTATGGCAGATTTTTACGAATACGATTTTTCATATGTATTGAATATATCGGAAATTATCCTTAACGTGTGCAGAAAATCATCTTTTAAGAAGGTAAAAGAATATTTGCGTACGATGTCGCATAAAAAAGTAATCCTTAAGAAAAATGTCATCAGAATATACGGATTTGCCGAAACTATTGAGAATTTTGCCGAATATTTATTGTCCAGATGGAAAATTGAAAATGAACATCCGTCAGTACGTATAATAATATTTAAAACATCTAATAAATTGTTCGCGAATAATCCGAAAAAATTTACCTGGTCTACGTTCAAATATATTTTGGAAAGTTACGAGTTTGAAGATTGGGAATATTACAGACCGAAATATATTCAAACCGATGTAATACCAATCGAATATATCAATGATATGATCAAAACAATTATATTAATGACAACGAAAATAATCGACATAAGTTTGTGTAAAAATACAAATGTGTATAGAATAAAAAATAAGGTATTAGATTTTTTATTCAGTACAATATACGTTCGTTTAAGTTCCTATTATATCGAGTTTGTCGACGATAAAATAATATTAAATTTCATCGAAAAATATTATTTCCAAGAAGAATTTATAAACGACGAACGTATTTTATTAATAGTCGTTTGTAATTATTTATTCGCCGATAGGAAACAATGTTTGCCGAGATATAAAAAATTCTGCAAAATAATGGAAAATAGATGCGAGGATTGGTATAATTTAGATTTAAAAGACGTAAGTGAAAATCCTATAAGAAAAGGAATTAGTAGTTTTATCAAAAAAATTAAAACTACTTTGTTGAGTAAGAACAAATGTGATTGGATTTGTCCGTCTATTGCAACACAAATAATCAACGAAACATTGAAAACATTTTACAAGGTTCCTGTATACACAAATATCTGGTTATACATAATGTTACAATTCACAAAATATTATATCGTATCGCCCGAAGATTTTGTTGAAAATATTTGTACTATATTTATTAAAAGCTGTGCCAATTACAAATGTTCCTATATTATATTCGCAAGAGCTATTGAACAATTTTTATTTGCCATAGACTGTAATGACACTGAAGATGTCTATTATCGTTTCATAAATAATCTTTTAAACAATCGTACATGTACTTTGTCCAAATTAACGGCAGTTTTACTTTTACCAGTATCACCTACAGATGATAATATGTATCATGAAGTATTGGATAAATTTAAAGCACTCAATGATCCAGAAGTATTTTGTTTGTTGTATACCAAACTTAACAGATCCTGTTTTCTGGATGATAGTAGTTACTAATTGCAATTTTAATGAATCGTCCTCATCATTTTTTCTTTGTTCAGGAAAAACAAGATCATATTTTTGTTTTTCTCTTTAATTATTCTTGTTTTTTTTTTTTCTTCTTTTTTTTTCTTTTTCAAAGAATACTTTTGTATACGCGTCTCTTAAGATATACAATGTGATGTACGTGTGTGTCTAATTGTTATTATTATTAATTTAAATATTGGAAAATGATAATTCTTCTATTGTGTAACAAGCGAATAAAAAGAAATAAATTTATTTAAAAGAAAAAATAATATATATATATATATGTATAAAAAAAAACACACACACGCGCGTGCACGAAGTATTTTCATTTGTTTAAAGTTTTTTTTTTGGTTTGTTAACTCTTGAAAAGAGTAACGTGATATTATTTATAATATACAAGTCATATAAATGTTAATAATAAATGAAATAAGTGAGATAACGAAAGAGTGGAGGGATACTTTTCGAAAAGATTATTTTTGTATTTATGATTACGATTAATTTTGTTCAATTATTGTTCATTAAATATTTTCATTTGTGCATAATTTTATTGGCTTTTATATATTTATTCTTTCGCCGTTTAATTTAAGCAAAATAAAAAATAAAATATATTTTCAATCGTTAGTCAAATTATTTTTATAGATTAAATATGTTC